AAAACCTTCAAACCTAACATACACAATGTCGATAGCACAGGGACAAATACTGCAAAAATCTGGCTTTCCTTGTACCTTACGGGCTGTATTAGGCTCGCATGGTATTGTGGTAAAATGTACAGCTGCCATTTTTTTTCCTACGGAGGATTCGCGCACCTATCTGATGATGGTGCCCGCTCAGCGAAGTGGCTCTTGAGACGCAGCTTTCTCCTAAAGTATTAACGGAATCACGTTTAAAGAACATAACTTTAAATCACATAAAAAAAACATCATTCAACCTCTCTCTAACGTGTAATACAAAACTGTTTAAACTTTTTCAGCCCTCTGACCCAAGATCGAATTGGAATTTAGAAAAGTTAGTTTTCTGAGGAGGGACGATAACAACTCAGAAAACACTACAGCGAACTACGGACTACTACTAGGATGCATGATAACGTTGATGGGCATAAAAGCAGGTGCTATTTATGCCCCTCACATTGCCTGCTCCTAACGAATGAAGTGAAGTTGGCACTGCCGTCACTGAGTCCTACAATAAGTGTACGCTAAAAAGGGACACCATCGCAGCGATTTTACAACATTTTTGATCACAGAAGTGCTAAAATTATGACTGAGTACCTTGACTCGTAAAGCAACTATTCCTAAAACACCAACATGACTATGTTAAGTGAATTACTGAAGGGAGAACAAATTTAATAGGTTTTAAGTGATTTTTCGAAGACACAACGACAACATCTGAAAACGTGTCAGACTTCTTCAATTTGGCCCATTATATAATTTTTTGTATAGCTTCAGGGCATTTATATAGTAATCTTTAACAAAACTAGACCACTAAATTTGTCTTTTGGGTTGTGACTATTCGAAGTTAGGTAGTGGTAGAAGTACCACTACTAACTTAAGCTCGTGATAGTGTCCCTTTAAATTATAAAAATTCAAAAAAAAAAATGAGCTTTTTTCATAAAATGCAAACTTTTAAAACAAAGTACACTAAAATATAAAACAAACTTTATCGACACTCCCTAAAGAGAGCTTTTCAGTGACAATTGATATAAAATCTCAGGTCAACATATTAAGTTAAAATGATGGCGTCTCTAAAAATTACGATAATACAAAAACGAACAAAGGTAGAATATAACTAAGTTAAAAGTAGACACTAAACATTATAAGATAAAGATTACATGAAAGAAGAAATTGTGGTAGTAAAACTAAATCTAAGACCGACCTGAGAGGAAAGCGGCGAGTAAATTAGTCCTTAATTTACGTTTAAAAGTAGGAACAGAGTCGCAGACTTTAACAGGGCTGTCTAAACTGTTCCATAAGCTGAGTGCGCGGCTATAGAATGTCCTCTCTCCGCATCTGGATTTAAAACACACATGTTGCAGCACAATACTGCCTAAAGTAGGAAAGCAAAACAACACCAAACTATTACAGAACAACCGCCAGGTTACTTCTAGTGTCTAGATTCAGGGCGTAATGATTAATTAATGACAAAGCAATAATTGAATAATTAATCAATTAATTAATTCTAAATGTGTTAAAAAGGTCTTTACGCTATACATATACATACATTACTTTATTTACCCTCGGATTTCAGAGAAGCTTATGCAGCTAATATCTCCGAGCATTTAACCATCAGATGAGAGATAGACCACCACAGCGGGAACTACGTCCCCTACTCTTTTCGCTCGTTCCTTTGCATCCAGAGCAAACAAACACTTCTTTGTGCAAGATCATGTTCCAGCATAAGAGCCGTTTGATAAACAAGGAGGTGATATCCAACTAAGATAATACACCTAGCAATCCTTACACTAACCAGTAATATGGATAAAAGTTAAAACTATTAACAGTTTTTTTACGGTCTACTATAATCAATTAATCCACTAATAATAACCTGTTGTGAGCTACATGCACTGCTATTGATGTACTCAAGGTGCTCATACCACCTTTATAATTAAACATTAAAATTCCAAAAAATTTAAAATATTTGGAAACGTCATTTCTCTCTGTGATGTATATTATACTGTAGCACAGCCTCAAAGGAACAGATATGGACTTCCTAAGAGGGGGCAATCAATGTTATCACTATATACAAGGCTAACATACGAACCCATTTTAAATAAATCTGGGTATTTTCTCTATGATACAAAAATATGAAGAGAAATCCTAAATACGGTATTCACAGTCAAAACGGTGAAAACTTTCAGCATAAAAAAGACTATTCTATTCAAATTTTGACTGTAACTGAATAATGGTAACCACTTTTCTGCGACAGTAACCACCACTGTATAAAACATTGATATGTAAATCAAAATCGTGTGACTCAACTTTGTTCTGCTGCACGTTCAAAGTTCAGTAATCTCCGTAATCTTCAGGGCCTACATGTAGTTTACGAGGAAAATGCAAGCTGAAGTGCCAGACAAAACATTTTTCAAACATTAAGTACACACTAAAATCTGGAGAAAAGTAGTGAAGATTCGTCAAATATCTTATGGACGCAATATAACAAAAGGGGAAAAACTGAGGCAGAAGATAACATTAAGAATTCATAAGACGCCAGCAGATAGCCAAAAAACCTAAGAGTTCATTACATCTACTACAAATGGTAGTAGTGAAGAAAGTTTACACTCAAAATGGTTTATAAGTATTCTAAATAACAACACTGATAACAATAGCATTACATGATCATGATTGGCATAAAAAGGTTCCATTCAGTGGGGTTACAGCCAAATAATTTACGACATTCAGCAAAAACTATTCAAACTATCTTGAATCAAATTACCTTTTTAAGAAGCTTAATTGTAAGTCACTCAGATGATCACGAGACCCGCTACATATAAATGCACAGTCGAACCTCTTCTTACGGACACCTCTATAGTACGGACACCTCCATAACATTGACACTCTTCGCTAGCCCTTTGCTGTCCATGTTAAAGAGGTTCCACTGTAGTTTACTCTGAAGGAACTGCTGCTGATAGCAATACTATACATACACTGTACATATAAATATATACACTCTAATTATACTCTTACTATGGTTTTTTTAAATTATCACATACCTTAAATGAACTGCATTTAATACAGTGAATGTAAAATGAGAACAACAGTAATGAAAAAAGTGTGCGTCTATCCAAGCACAAACCTCTGCTTCTCAGGGTCTCATACTGGTATCCTATCAAATCAAATAAGTTGCATACAGTGTACAGGTACTTGCAACCTGAAATGGACTGAGAAAGTCATCCATAATCACTTATCAAGGACTGTAACTTTAACAAACATCGTATCATCATGGACATAGCCATCTCTTGCAAGAATATCTAAAGGAAAGGCATTTTGAGGAACACCATGGGGATCGTTCATTCCACAAACCGGTTGAGCAAATGATGCACTTTGCAGATCTGGTAATAGAGAGGCTGTGACATAATCACCTCTCCTGTTAGCTTGGCCCATGACTTTGAACTCAACTCGGTGGGAAAATGGCCACTCGAGAATCACATCCCAATCGCCTTTCATTAAAACAAAAAAGAAAGACAGGTGTGAATTCCATTCACATCCATGACCATTCATGTAGAGGCGTACGCATACTTTATAGCCAGCGTGGAAGGTGTAAAATGGTGGGCTTGAGAGGAATAATTCTGGATTGCCTCTGGCCTCTGCACATTTGTGGCACACGTCAGAAATTTTCCAGACCAGCTTCCCACACTGAACATCCCTCTGGCAAGAAAGTTCCTGAACCTGGCGAAGCACAGAACTCATAAGTGTACGTGCCAGCTGAAGATGGGCATTCAACGTGTTATCATGGTCATCATGACTATTAGCACGCATCTCTAGAGCTGTAATGCGGTTCTTCATAGTTCTATTTTCCTCTTTTAGATCTCTGTTCTCTTGCTTTAGCTCTGCAACAGTAGCTTCCTGCCTCTCTCTCTCTTGTGTTTGAGCATTCAACAATGCCTTGACATCACTTCTTAACTTTTCCAACAAACTGTAATGATTAATTAGAGCCCAGTCATGATCCCCAAGCTTAACTTCAGCTCCATCGAGGTCCTGCCTGATACCAGCAACTTGAGGTTGCAGTGCTTCAGAACCATGTGGATGACGATGTGCTTCCACTAAGCCCTGCAGCAGCAGGAGGTGTTCTTTGATACATTCAGCCAAATGAAGGTTTAGACCATCTTGGGTCATCAATTCCTATTCAATTTGTATATGAAAACATTACAAGTATTTAGTCAACTTAAGACCTTCTTCAAAATGCAAAGCATTTTCAAAACCACTAAGCATTTTCAAAACCTCTGTACATTTATATAAAAACACTGTACATTTTATGAATGGCTCGACTTACATTGTGCGCACAGCCATTTTCCGTGAATGGACAAGGTTTTCTAGGACAGTCCCCATTTAGTGGATCTGTATGGTATGTAAGCTACAGGTACCAGGAAACGACAAAAATTAACACATAATATTGCTAAAAAATTCACTAGCAATGGCAACTTCTACAAAATTCAGGGCTATAACTAAAACCATGGGCTGAAATTTTCCACGCGCTACTATGAGTTGAAGCCCCTGTTACTTTGACAGAACCCAAACATTCAAGACTGAAAAAAAAAGCCGAAAAACTACCTCCCGGGCTAGCACAGTTATGATAAACTTATGTGAATATATCACAGCAAGCTTACATCTTACATTTAAGCTTACACAGTAACATGTACATGCAATGGCCACATCAACATTTCAAACAAACATTTGAAGAGTATACAATCATACATCTTGCCTTGAATGTGTTTTTGACTTCAAGACAAAGATTTCATTACTCAAAGCATTGCAAGATCATCATCCCTTGTTTCACAGTGTAAATTCTTTGCAGATGATCTGTTGTTTCACTTACAGTAAGGACTGGTCAAAAAAAAATCGGGGAGGAGGGGGCTGGGCCAAACCAGAGATGGGGTGGGTCAGAGAGGGGGTGAGTAAGGAGTCCTAGTGCAGAAATGTTCAAATCCGACTATGCTCTTTCGACATGTTGGTCTCCAAGCTAAGAACACCAGATGACCAACATGCTATTTATCCACAAGAGTATGGGACTCATTTTCATGGTTCTGGGACTCACACCCTTAGGCCTGGGTCTCGAACTTTGCTGGCTATGTGAGTCCCAGGACTCACTAGAGCCTTTTTCTAGATGGATCACTGTTCCACTCGAAGTGAGGCCATAGGCCAAGTATGCAAGGTTTACGGTCAAGTTTTTTTGTAGAGTTTAATTTTAGATGCTTGAGTATTATTGTTAAAGAAATATGTCTAAAACGTAAATTACATCACAAGTTCAAACACAAAATGTGATTTTGTTGGATCATGTAACCAAAAATGTCATATTTTATAGGGGGTGGGACATGTCATTTTCAACCTTCATTTAGGGGTGGATCAATCAGTTTTGTGCTAAATTGAAGGGGTGGGTCACGTGTTTTCAATCCACCACATTTTCAAAAACTCCAGCCTACCCATCAACCTCCCTATACTTTTTGACCAGTCCCTTACTGGAAATGCTGGACAATTATCACCCCACAAAACCTACTTGAAATGTTTCAAAGTTAAAAGCATGTACAAGAGGTAATAAAAAGAATTTTGCCTTCCAATTATTGTTTTAGCTAAATGGCTAGTAAATGTGGGGAACAGCCGTTGAAAAGCCTTTCTCAATTATTTTTAATTACTTTTAATTTGTTTTTCCTACCACTTGCCACTTGGTCTATATACAATAACCTTAAATAGAGATTGAAGCTACTGCTTCTGCTTGTAGTGCCATACAAGCTTCAGGTGAGCACAGTTTCCTCCATATTCTGTCTGGTGTATGTGGCATACAAAGTGGCTGAAACTCTCATCAAATTTTGTCTCTAAGTCCTCCGACGTGCATACAAAGTGCACGGGTTGGCTCGAGAATATCTAAGTTCTAGATTTGAAAGGCTAGAAAGCGGATATAACCTAATTGACTCTGAGAATAAACTAAATGTTCCATTGCTGAGCACAAACTATTTTAAAGATAGCTTTAGCCACAGTGGCACCATTCTTTGGAACAGTCTTAATTCCTTGTGACTTAAGGGAAACAGATTCCCTGAGGCAGTTTAAATGCCTACTCAAAGGAGATGTATAAGTCACGGCATTCGTGGAAAGCAGCTTTTTTATTTGATTATTTTCATTATATTAGATATTAGGAATTGAATATATTTGTAGTTTTAGCTGACAAATTTTTTACCTTGTTGAAATAATGTAATGCTTTATGAGCTTATCTAGATTTTCACAAATACTCAGGGCATGACTCCAGAACCCCTCGCCCATATCTAAATCTGTAACTACATGTATGGGCATGATTTCATATCAGTTAAGAAAACAATGCTTGGCAAGATACAAGTGAAAACAATTAAAAAGTGGCAAATGTATCGAGGTTAAATAATGTCTTACAGATTGTGGGGAGGCCCTGTTCCCAGGCCTATATGTACTTCGAACGTTACTGACAACCCTAAAAATTGCAGCCCCAGATACATTGTATCTTCAACTAACAGAGAGTAAATGTTCCAAAAATAATACAGAAATAAACCCACATGAAATGCAAAAACTATATTTTTGTTGTCATCTAACCTCTTTACCTTTCAAAGTTTCACAAACCTGTGACTGAGGTATATTCTCTTTACCACAAGTTCTGCACTGCACAGGAACATTTGGACAGGTTGTTAGGTGGTTCTAGAAGAGTTCAATAAAAAAAGATAAGAGCAGCTCTATTTAATATACAGGCAATATCTGTATTAGAAATGGGGTCTTGAGGATGATGCAGGTCAGATGTCAGACAGGAGTTACCACTCTTGTCTTACTCATATGTTAAGCAGTCATTGCAAGTGCCCTGATTTGATGGAGATATTATTGACTCAGTGTATCACCTCCTACCCTCCAGCTTTCTATTAAATAAAATTCCTTTAATTCAGTGATTAAATTTTGCCAGGCCAAAATGAAATTAAAACTCCACTGTTAGAGAGAGTTTAAGCTACAATAAATGGCCGGAGAGCTACATGTAAGCAATGATAATATTATTACATCTAACATAGCAAGACAAAGAAAGACAAGCTAAATTAACTAATGCCTTCTGACTGCCTCTCCAAATAATAAGATGTAAAATTCATGAACCACAATAGTATGGCATTCCACAACACCGAAAAATTTATTCTGGTGACTATCACCTGTGCCCCAGATAATCCTGACTGCTAAACAAATGTGCAGACTCCTAGTTCTTCATAAAATGTCTTGTATCGCTTTCAATTGTTTTGAAATAGGTTCCTCTCTAAAATTTTCATTTCTAATTGCCCAGGGTTGGAATGTGATCCACTAACTTCTTGCTCGCTCGCTCACTCAACTCACTCACACTCACTCACTTAATTACTCACACTCAGTTCCTTCAGGGCACATAAACCTATAACATCTCCCTAATGCTACAAAATTGTTTTTCGTACAAAGAATCCCATCTTTAAGGAGCTGAAGCTTGAATAGGCAGTAAATTTGGAAATACACTGTGTGCAAGTCATTTGAATTGTGAGAGGTGGTGACCAAATGAATGTACACTGTACATGTACGGTATTTTTTAAAGCTACCTGCACACTGTAACTATCACTACACTCAATACATGTCTCCGGAACAAATCAAAACTGACCCCTAAAGGACGTCATTATAAAGCAGAGGGATCAGGGTACCTAACTGCAGAGGGTGGGGGGGGGGGGGCACATATATGCGTACAGACAGTGAAAAAATAAATATTTTTACCTGTAATCCTGCAAATGTCTCTCGACCATCGCAGTGTTCACACACAACTGGGCGGTAGCCACATTCCATGGTCTCATGTTCTTGCAATTGCCGTGATAGTATATTGGCATTACAGTTTTCATTTCTGCATAATACTGGTCTGCACTCGCAGTGGTTATGATGATCCTGGAAGAGATCAGTGCAAAAAAAAATGTTTCTAAAATAGCATGATTTGATCAATGGTAGAGAATGAGAATGGTGGGAACTGCAGAAAGGCAAATGAAATGAAGATGAGACCATCACAGTTGTTGAATCAACATTTAATAGACAATATTGTGGTGGCCTCATGGTTAGTGCACTCGTCTCCAGATCAAGCAGTCCGGGTTCGTGCCCTGGCCGGGGACACTGTGTTGTGTTCTTGGGCAAGACACTTAACTCTCACAGTGCCTCTCTCCACCCAGGAGTATAAATGGGTACCAGTGAATTGTTGGGGAAACCTAACAAATTGCAAGGGAGTGACTAGTGATGGACTAGCATCCTGTCCAGGAGGAGTAGAAATACTCCTAGCTGCTTCATGCTACAGAAACCGGGATAAGCTCCGGCAGCTGTGAGCCAGTCAGCTCCAAGGCTTCACACTTATTGCAAATTAAGCTAGAAAAAAAGGGCTTCAACAGGCCAGTTTGAACCCATGGCCTCAGTATTAGCACTGCATGCAGTGCTCTTAATAACCAACTGAGCTATGAAGACCAATAAATTGAGAGCAGGCCAATTTCAATTTGAAGTATTGAGTTCAACATATAAAAACCATAAAACGTAAAATCTTTATTTTAACACGACATGAAAGGAATGAAACAAAATTAAGATTATGATGTGAACTGCCAACTGAAGTGCAAATGAAATGAAATTTGACCATCGATGTAGTCACAATTTTAAGCCTGAGAAAAAGTAATTTAAGTAAGTTCTTCATTTCAATTAATCATTACTAAATTTGAATTTGAAATAAACCAAGTTACACGGTATATAACAGAATTACAACTGTACAGTGAATCATTTGCACATGCAAATTGGGATTTCACAATTTAACAAGTCAAGTAACACTGCATGACGTCTTCTGCTGATCGAGACTCTTTTCCAGAAAGTTTTTAACTGTTTATCATGCTACAAATTATACACGCACACCAAATGAATACTAGCTGTTACAGTGTGATTGCTGAAACCATCGCCACTCAGACTATGAAAACCAATCAGATGGCAGAGCTGAAACAATAGATTCCAACATTTTCAAATCCAGCCAATCAAATGTCCTATTTCAAATCCAGCCAATCCAATGCCCAGTACAAAACAATGAAATCTGAACTTGTTTGTTGTAAGCTTAATGCAATTATGGTGTCGCCTAATAAATTGTCAAGCTCAAACTGTTAGTAGTTTTGCATGCTTGAGGGTATAAAAAGATTTATATGCTGCACTTTCTATGAGGTCGTTGGTTCGTTTAGAAAATACATGGCGGAAAGAAAAGCTGCGTAGGAGTGTCACTCATTAATATACATGTATATCGCCAGCAGAGTGTGTCGTGTAGGGTTTGAATATTGCCCTGGCTGTTTAAAAGAAGCCCTTCAAATAGTATCTGAGCAGTTTCGCATGTGCAGGTTTGAAATGTACAAATTGGAAGGGGATTATTTTCAGTGTAACTGAAAGGAGCTGAAAGCAAACTTCAAGAAAGAGAAATGAAAAGTTACCTTCATTTGATACAAAAATGGACTTGTAACCTGAATTCTTTGTTCGAAGGCAGAAAAAAATTCACTTGAATTTTCCATGAAGATGTTATTTCAATACACTGATAACCCTGCAGAAAGGGAGCTCAAACTCCGAAATGTACAGCTCCTGAGACAGTGGGTGTAAGGGTTTTTCTGAAAACTGCATGGTGGACAAATGAAAGCTGTGTAAAAATATAAACACACACAGACAACAGGACTGTAATTTATTTTGTTAAAAAAATGTCAAATCTACTATTCTTCCACTTTAAACAACCATAAAAATGATATTTTGTGTGTCCATACAGTCATGGTGGAAAATGGTCAATCTTTGACCAATGAGTTTATCATGCTTGTCAATGTAAAGTAACACAATAGTTTCTAATGCGAAAGTACTAAGGGTTTTGGCTTGACAATTTATTAACAGACGGCGTAGTTGCCTAAGCATCACAACGAACAAGTTCAGATTTCATTGTTATGTACCAAACATTTGATTGGCTGGATTTGAAAATGTTGGAATCTTTTGTTTCAGTTCTGCCATCTTATTGGTTTTCATTGTCTGGGTGGCCCCGGTTTCAGTGAACTGCACTGTAAATTATTAATTGCCATTTAATTAGGAATACAGTATGGCAGTTAACCTCAATGTGGACAACACAGAAAAAATGACTTGTTTCAATGGATCTATATTTTGCAAGTTAAAGCAAGTTGTAGACTGTAAATACAATTTAATTGCTTAATAATCTAACTTTTTGGGTTGAACATTAGTTATAACAGAACCTCTCTGATAGGAGATGTACACTGTCAGGTACATATTACCATAAATAATTATTTAAAATCTCACTCACATCTATTAACTTCAATTGTCCTTGCCAGGGACATCCATCATCCTTGTATTTACATATTACTTCCAAAGTTGAGATTTCCCGTCTTAAGAATTCATCAGCAAATCTCTACATGTACAAGAGAAGGAGAGTTAGAAGAGATAGAATGACACATCAGAAAATAAGTAAACATATTAATTAAAAATTAATCTGCAGTTTATGAAAAGTGTCTAATTTCAGTTGTTGAACTCATGAAAGGCACAGTGTAACTTCAGGAAATTATTCAGCTAAAAAAAAAACATTAACACATACATGTACGGTGTACCTGTAGACAACTTGACATAAAGGATTTGATGAATGCAATTAAGCTACATGATTGTAGATGTATAGAAATTACCATTTTCTGTAATCTCCAGGATGTAGAGAACAGTGTATAGTATATGAAATTTTTGGCAATGAGAAATGTACAGAGGAGGAATGTTCACTGTACATGAACATATAGACTTCAGTTTCTAATCAGTATGACAACCTTAAAAGGTCCGCAAAATCCCAATCTCGAGCAGGGGTGCCATTAATATAGTGGCCACATATGCACATGTGTACCTCCAAAATCCAAAAAGAAATATATACGTATGATTTATGAAAATCCCTTTTAGTCTGAAACTGGGTCTGAAATCACCAAAACCTTCAAAAATCTAAAAGAAAAATAAGTCTGAATTTATGAAAAATGGTGTTCACTTGCTTACTGAAACTTGGTCTAAGTGTTTTTTCTCACCAAATATCAGAGTAGGTGACACAAATTCAAAGCAAAATAAAAAGCCATACATTTAAAGATCAGTGTCCTGACTCTCTAAATCAGTTCATGCTACTACATATTATAGGATACACTAATCCCACAGTTTGGAGGAGATTGTTAAAAGAAGTAGCAAAGCCCAGGGTAGAAAACATTATGAAAGACATCACTTAGGTTATTCATGTACAAGTTTACCATGAAAGTCAAAAAATCATGAACACTCTGATTTGATTTTGACATGTCAATTGCATAGTCACCAATTGGATGGGAGATAAAACTGCAAAAAAAGCAAAAAAATTAACTGTCTCCATCAGTCACGAAAACCACACTTCGATCATTTTTCTTTAAAAAAATGGCTGTTACCCTGTAGTTTTATAATGACTAAATAATTTAACCTGTTTTATTTGTGCAACAAACTGGAAATTCAAGTGACTTTAAATGGCATGTGGCTCAAACCAGTAAGTGCAGACTTGGCTACAAAACCAGACAGCTCTTCTATATTCAACTTCATCCGTTGCTATATTTGGAGATAAAAACTCTAAAGAACCTTCACACTGATAACTCCAAACTCCACGGAAAGTGAGAAGGTTTGGAAAAAAAAGAGGGAAAGGAGCAGAATAAATTAAGAGCAGAACATTCCTTTCTTGTAAACAATATGCAGCTACATGTGCAATACCAATTACCATACGTGAGATTTTACTAAATAAAAATTTAAAGATTACCATATTGTGTACCAGAATTATGGGTTTCAGTAAATAAACTGATATGTCAGTAAAAAAGGGAGTTTCAAATGAGAGTACCAGGGGGAAGAAACAAATATGTGAGGATTTGGTGGAAATGCAACAGGGAGAGACTATTAAGTTTGGAAAGCGGTCGCGACAAGCACAAGCTAATTCATGCACGTTATGCATTATCTAACGACCTTGCAAAATTTGAAGGCAAGACCAGCATCATTAACATACAACGTCCTTTCATAACGCAGTCATGTACGATAATTTGCTCATCTTCAATGCTACGAATTTGGCCTATATGTGATGGAAAAAAAAATTGGTCTCGAACTCACAACAGCAGACATTCTTCCTTGCCCACTCCTCCAATCAAAAGAGCAACACTAAAAATACCTGCATGAAAATTTCAGGCTCTTGATATTTTGATGTGGCTGTTTCCAGGTAAGGTTTATTTATGAAGAGTTCCAGTCGAGAATAATAATAAACAATAAATAATGTCTGAGGTTGCAAAGTGGTTACAAGGTTTGTAATGTGAAAATTACAGGGTAATGATGGTTTTTGTAAGGAAAAGGTATCAAAGCTTGGTTTCATGACTGATTGAGAGAGATCATTAATTTTGTCTGTTTCCTTTTTTACCATTTTTTCTCGCATCTGATAGGCTACACATTGTCAATCGACATGTCAAACTCAAATCAAAGTGTTCACAGTTTTTTGACTTTCACAGTAACTACATGTACCCTATTCAGGGCAGGAAAAAGCCCAGGTCCGATTGCCCCTGGCAAGTAAAATTTGCTCTTGAGTGAGTGAAAATGGAAGGTTGGTGGTCCAGTGACGTGGGCAAGTGAAGTTAGCCTCAGTAGTCTTGTTAGTTGATAAGGAATGAACATTGCACACCTATTGGGCAAGTAATATTTTAGTGGGGGCAATTGAAAACTGAAATGTACTGGCCCACTGGGCAACTGGATTTCAAATTGTTTTTCCTGCCCTACTAGGCCTCAAACACCCCAAACAACCTTGAATTTAAAAATAATATTTATTTCTTTCTGAATTTTTTCCAGGTACATGTAGTACATCATACGTTTTCCCAAATCCAGACAGCAAAATATTTCAAGATCTGCTTCAAATGACTTTTAACTGCTTGAGATTCTCAAAGTCATCTGACACAAAACATAATACTTGTACACTTCAATGACAACCATGCATGCTAACTTAATCACAGTCAAGATTGGTTACCTCCATATTAAGTAGAGACTGTCCGCACTTTAAACAGTTTGAAGGATTCTGCCTGCAAATTTTCAAGATAAGACAAAACAAAGCATTTATAATGATGAAACATTGGAGCTACATGTAACTTGCTATTATGCTGATCGAGTTGCAGAGAGAAAGAAATACTAAGAGTTACTAAACAAAACATGATATATGTATAAAGCACCTCTTTTTTTCTTGCCAGGTAGTTCTGCAGGTGGCAGGTTAAAATACCCCAATACCCCAATGATATTCAATGATTTATACCTTTTGCATTACCAGGTTTTGCACAGTGCTGTTTTATTTAGGCTAACCAGAGTGCTATTCAGGCTAACCAAAATGCTGAGTAGACTTGCTCAAACTTTAAAAGTTGATTTTTCATCCTGCAACCTGTAAAAAATGTGCACCCTCTTTTTTTTCTTGGTCTTTTGAGAATGACGTGAAAGAAAGCCAAACAGCGAAATGGCTGTGCAAGGATGAGAATGAGAGTGCCAACACCAGAAAGTTTGCAGTTTCATTTCTCAGTCAAGGGTCTACATGTGAGAAAAGGGGGCATACTCATAACTTAACATATACTAAAAACATTGTGTAGCCATGAGAAATTGTCTTAACTTCCTTAAATAAAACTATCTAATGGTTCAACATATTAACCCATGCATTGACACCCGGAGCTCTTTGGCAAAAACACATTTTTTGGACATTTTGGACATTTTCAGCCTGGATAGGAGCTCCTTAGCTCAGCTTAGCTCCAATCTACTTTCTTTCCACTAGCATCACCTTTTCGGACAATTGTGACCTTTCACGCGAAAACGTGCATTAACAACTTTCTGTTACATGGGTGAAATGAACAGCCATCGAACAGGTTACAAACGGGTCACCAAGCCGTTTGAAACGGGTTTCAATGAGTGTTCGAACGGGTGATTAAGTATTCCGAACNTTCAAACGGCTTTTAAACAGCTTCTAAACAGAATTCCGTTCGAAAACGGAAAGCCGTTAATGCACGTTTTCGCATGAAAGGTCACAATTTTGCTCAGGCATACATGTGCAGAAATCAAAATTGAGAATTGGAGTTCCTGTCTACTTTATACCAAATGCCCTTCAACTTGAAAAATTAATGAAAACCCTGAGTTTTTCACTCCTATTTCTGAGCATTTTCATGCATGCATATGTCAGCTTCAATTGACCCATCACTGCGATCTGGGTATCAATGGAAAGATCTTTTCCTAATTCTGAAGAACTTGATTACAAGTGATGCCAATTTTGGTCAAAGGTGATGACATCAGAAGTGGAATAAAGGCCAATGTTCACCACAGCTGGTTATGGCCACCACAGGCATCAATGGGTTAAAAAGGAAACAAAATTAAAGTTCTGTTCCTTCTTGCACTAAATGGTCTGCCATTCTGAACAGTGTTCTGAACTGAGAAAGATAAATGTTGATCATATCACTAGTACAGGACAAGGAAAAATCAGAGTCTCCAACAGTATTCAACTTATATCTGAAGTGCATGAAATTTAACACTTGGAGAGAGTGCAGCCACTGCCTGGTCCTTACGTAATATGTTCTCTTGATTTACATGTACTTGGCCATTAATCTTTCTACATATGTGTAAACATTGATTGTGGTTCATTGATCACAACATTAAAAAGCAAAATAATATAATATTGATAAATTTTTATTCCTGAAAGCATAATGTTTAACACATATTTTACATGTACAATGTACTTCCTCCTAGAAAAATATTCCTATTGAATTACCTTTGCATATTGCTAAGACATGCTTCACAATAGTGATGACCACAGTCTAATTGCATGGCATCACGTAAGACGTATCCACACGATGGGCAAAGAAGTTTTGCATCAATAGTAGACAAGTCACAAGCCGCCAACTTGTATCCAGGCATTATAGAAACAAGAAATGGTGTTCTTGACTGATGGAATCTAAAACAAAAACATAAGAAAAAAAATAAGATACATCAGTAATACATGTAACTACAGCTGTACCCATACGTAGTACGCATGAATTGATGTTAGCTGGAGAAGGTAGGCTGGACTTAAAAGTATGTGAATTTTTACAGAACATGAGTAAAATGCAGTCAATGGAGCTACTTTACAAAAAAATTATGTAACAATGCTGTCAAAGTGTATTTGGCACAGGCTGAGATCAGGTAAGATCCTTAATCTGCATCATGGCACCTGCATCATCTGGCGCATCACCGCACTTTTCTATTGGTTACACCCATAGACATGTCTAGCTATAGACGCACCATGGTTCAGTGCAAAAGCACTTCCCTTCCGTGGGGTGCTGTATTCAGTACAGCATTGTTAATAGTAAAGAAAATTCCCACCCTCCCTTCTTTAATGGAGGATGCTGCGAGGTTTTAGGCCACAAAGCAGCCGTCAATGAAGGTCACAAAGTGGCTGAGCAAGCGACAAAGTCGCAAGAGGTTGACTTGTCTCTATTGAACGGTTTTCATTTGCATTTTGCACCAAAAAATGAGGAGTGGCGTGACTAGCAACTGGTGTCTCAGATTACCTTTACAAGTCCTTGACTTGAATTGCGGAATGTATTGATTTTGCAACTGTTTTTCTGAACAATCTCCTACGTGAGACGCCGAAATGCCACAGGAATTTAGGTTTGAGACCTGATCTTTCATGAGCAAAATCAGCAGAACCACATGCACCAAGATGACAGCATTGCTATTGCAGCTATAACTCTCTCCATTTAAACAATCAAAAGTGTGCAGAGCAAGCTGTAAAGTCAAGCTTTTCCCAGCTCCGGTTGAGGCAGAAACAAACACATCTCTTCTAGACAGATACATGTACACTTCCACTGTCTAATGTACAGGTAGTCTGCAATATATGTAGAATATTCTGTGGCCTTTATGGCTTCTTTTATTGCTTTTGCAATCAACCCCATGTTGAATTCAACTGCAAGTCATGATTTGTTGACAGTTCTGTCCCCAAGGGATATTCATGGCAAATGTTATTGGTTGAAGTGCATTGAAAAGCCCTTTGTCTGGTGGGTAATGAATAAACAATTAAGACGAAGGACTTTACTGAAAGTCTACCATGGAAATCACAAGACCTGGTCATAAATGACTCAAAATATAATAAATGCACAACCAAGATGGGGATAGAATCTGATTTTACCCATTTTTCAGCTCCCTTGGTGGGCATTTATTTCAAATGTTCCTCAGACAAGCCAAATTCCCTACATGTTTGGCCAACCGTCCTGCACATGAACAAGAGACAGACTAGTTACATGTAGCTATTTTTCTGCTTCTTCAGGGATATGGAAGAAGCTGAAAAACAAGGCCTGAGATCCAGCATTGATATAAAACTATGCCACTTAAAAAAGGACAAGATGGTAACAAGGCCTATACAATAGATACCAGGATACAGTGGAATGAAGAAATACCCAAAGAGCATATAAAAAACAACCATTTCGTGTGTACATGTATGAATGGTCAACACAACAGTTTTGTAGTACTACAAAATTTAATACAAGCGAAAAGTAAAATCAAACCCTGAATTGTGCATGATTCGAGAAAAGTATGTTTCAATTCTCATGAACCATGAATGTTTGATTTCCCACCCTTATAAAATTACTAATTTCAAATTATGAGTGCTAGTTAGGGTGGCTATCGGATTTTTCAGTAATGATTTCGTTCAACTTTGGGTGACTAAAGCACCACCATAATCAATCCGACAAAAAATCAAACATTACTCAGGTGTGCTAGAGAAAGATGAAAGTTTCAAATACTGTAGGGTACATTTCACCAGGATCTGAGGATCACAGGATCACAGCAATGAAATGACGCCTTACCCCATTTTACAAGAGACTGATAACTTACACGTACCATCAGCAATAATTTTCAAAATACAACATCAGGGTCTCCGACTTCACATAGATGTCTTAATTAACAATGTCAAAATATTTTAGAAAAGTCTATAGGAGCATTTTCATGAAAATTGTGAGTGAGGGTGTCCAAATTAAACAAAAACGAAAACAGTTTTCAATGACTAAATGGCATTTCAGTCTTAGCTGAATTGCATAACATCTAATTTTCTTGAGTTAAAATCTCAGAGAAATTGCCCAGTTTGATTTTCAGAAACACTGGCTTGAATATCAACTGGTTTGAGATTTTATTTGGATTTTTTTCAACATCTGACCTAAAATTATTAAATTGGTCAGCAATTGAAATACACTTCATGAATTTTTTGTAACTTGGCTCTCAAAAAGATCCATCAATATTAAATGAAACCATGGAGTTTCAAACTAATTGAAACATTTTAAGTCCACCAATTTTTAGCCTCAAATCAGGAAAATATTGCGCTGATTTTGACGCTTGTGGTTTGTTGTTTGGCATATTTTAGCATGCTTCTGGAAAAACGGCGGAAAACAAACATGCGTTTTATGAATACATGATATCCTAAAACATACAATGGCATGCCGATTCGAGACAGTAGAAAATGCTAATGAAAACAACAAACCATAAGCGTCAAAATCAGCACAATATTTTCCCGAGCAAAATCAGCGTGCAAAAAAATAAAAAAAGCATGGTAAGAGGCAGTAAAAGAACGTCTATGGGCAAACTTAACAAAAGGTTGCTTTGGTATACCAGGATCTGATATACTCTCTGATTGGCCAATTTTGGCAGGCGTTATCAACACTCAAACGTTACTGATGCAGATGAGTAATATGCAATATGGCAGCGCTCAGAGACCTTTCAACAAGTGATGCGGTGTTCAAATATGTGATGAACAACACCGACACTAAAAGATTTTCCTCATGTGGAGTGCCTTTGCAAAGAACAGAAGGATTGAATAAAAAATATGTTCAGTGGCGAAGATGTCTTTGCAATCCTTCCCACCAGTTTTGGAAAGGGTTTAATCTTTAACCTTTTTCCACGAGTAATGTCTTTAATGAATAAAAAAAAGTTGGCACCGACAGTTACATTACACGTACCTTGTAGGTTTTCAAGAAATTTAATCCAAATCAAATCTGACAAGGTGCTAGTGTCCACAAGTGTAAGGGAACTGATTTAAAAGGAAAGATTTTGTTATCATGATATCTGACATTGTAATTTACCAATCTGTCTTACAGATACATGTAGATATTAACAGTACTTTGTGTAATTTTTATACAGATGAAAAGAACCTGAACATCATGAATAACTCATGGATTACCCTAATGAACCTAAAACATTACTATTCAACCCATTGACACCCAGAGCTTTTTAGCAAAAATGCAATTTTTGGACATTTTTGACACTTTCAGCATGGATGTGAGCTAAATTAGCTCCAATATTTTAACTAGTGAGACAATCTCAGAAAGTGCAGAGTGCAATTGATAGCTCTGGCACAGTAGTCCAATAAGTACTCACTCCTGCTTGGTTCACTTCCGGTTTGTATCTACCTTGGTAGTCTGCTAGGGCTTTTCCCCTTAGCAACTGGTGTGTACATGTACGTTTCAAGGTTGTATTTTCATTCAAGGTCCAAAAATTAAGTACAATTACTGTTTGCCATTCATGACAGCTTTTAAATTTTACTCTGGTGTTTTACAATGATTTTTGTTCTTTTTAAATTCAATAATATGTTGAACAAATGTGACAGTTGAGCGCTTTGCACCAACAAGGAGAAATTACCGCCCTTGGGATTTACAATAAAAAGGAAAAATACAAATCAATGTTTAGGTGACCTCAAAAGGGAAGATCAAGGAGTACAGAGTCCTCAAACCATTCTGGTGAGGAATTTTTTCTTCCTTTAACTGCCACAAAAATATGACAATCGGAGTACTTTCAAGTAAGTTTTCAATGTAGATCATGGATTTACAGCAGTTATCTGGACTTAAGAAACAAAACTGGTAATGTACATTATTACTTCCAAGTTGAATTCAACTTTTGGAATGATTGGTAAAGCTACGGTCATTAAAATGACTGTAAAAGTTGTCAGTAAAAAGTCACGTTTTCGCTTTAGCATGAAGAATTAATTTAAGGATGCTGACATCCATCTAAGCACGTCTTCGAAATTTTGACCATTTTTTGTTTTAAATAGGTTTCCTCGCCTCAGCTTGAATGAAAATTTATTGTTATTGAACTTCCTTTCGTATTTCTTTCATTTGGTTCCCTGTATTTGGGAATTGTAGGCTTTAAAAGTGCACTGTAACTTTCACACTGGATTTCTGCACATTTAATTTACAACAACCTCCACGATTTGTTTGTTTAGTCTATTCCCTTCATTCAAAGATATTTTTTGAAGTCTTCTTCAGCTACTACAGAACAGTTGAGAAAAGAAGTAGGTGGCCACTACTTCAACACAGTTGAAATACAATTGATCTCAAAATAATTAGCTTGTTTTTGTCGTCTGTTTGATTTACACCTTTCATCTTTCTTTTATTTGATTTCTATATGTACGCAACGAGTATCTTTGATTTCAAGTGGAGGTGACCACTTTTCAAAGTGAGAAAACTAGTGTCCAGATCAGTGCAGTCCCACAGCTGACTGTGTCCCTTTAAAACTCAGAGAAAAAAATCAAAATCTTACAAGTTTTCCTTTACCTTTCCTCGGTTGCATTAGCCCTTTCTTACTATCCAGATGTATTTTGAACTTTAACTTAACTCACTCAGGGAGGAAATCGTTTAACCTCCAAGTTGAATATAATAATTTGAACTTCGCTACGACTGCGAAAACCTTAAACACTGGTCAGCGGATTCGATCACAAAAAGTATACGAAGCAAATGATCGAGAAACCTCACAACTTGGATTTTCAACTTAAAAATGACTTAGTTACATCATAAATCTGTCATCTTACCTCATCATACAATACATAAATAATAAAGGCATAATTTGTTTGAGTTATTTTTACAAGGACGTCGTAAATTGCGCGTTATTTTTGTTCCATGAGGATTATACCACGCAAGGTCAAAGTCCAAACAGTGTTGTCTAAACAGAGGCAAAGAGCGCGGATTTGAAGCACTAGCTTCCCATGTAACTGTCACGTTTCAGACGAAAATTAAAGTTAGTAACAGCAAAATTGAGTAGAGCAATGCCCGTGTACCTACGTTATAAATCTTTGTACATTTCTTCGCCGTCCTCTGCAAAACAACAACGTGAAATGACCAAGTTCTGCGTATATTGAAAAACGCGAACGACGGCGGCTAACTTTCCGTATTTTCATTTGGAATTCAGCTTGAGCAAGTTTTAAGACCGATAGGCGTACTGAACAGATCTAGAAATGTGCGAAATTCGAAGGTAAAGGATAATTCATTTTTACTAGGTGACGTCGTCCTTGTCGTCGCCTGCTACCAGGACTAAGGAAAGTTATAAAGTAAAACTACACCCGAAAGTTGTTCTGTACTCTCCACTTACGTAAAAAATACTCCATGCCACAATTTCAGAAAGAAAACAAACATACCTTGTCGTGGATGTACGAAATACAACCCTTCAAGTGACTAGACGAAGACCACACGTATAAAGTCCAAGATGGCCGATCTTTCCACGGACGGGGAATCCCCAGCCTCAACCCCAGGGCCTTCTCCTCGACGATTTTTAAAATGGCGGACAACGTCCCAGATTTCGGGTTCGGGGTTAACGTTTTTATGTATCATGAATACTATTTTATGATAACTGTATCAAGAAACACTGAAGCAAAAGTTATTCACGAACGTTTCATGTTGATACAAATAGCAATTGACGAATAATTGATAATTTCAATACCGTGGACTAGTAAGTAACTGATTTCCAAAGTGCAGTGTTCACTGCGAGCTGACCACGTATATAACTATGCTCGACAGTCACGTGTGTCCCATTTCTGTTGAGTAAGGTTCGAAAATTCGTTCGAATGATAGCGTAAATCAATTTATTCCATTTCTGATAAACGACCACGAGAATTACAATTTGCCGATCTCTCCAAAGTAACATTACTTAAAAACAAACTAGGGACATGACTTCATCGTTTGTGTCCAATAACGCCAACTTTACATGAACGGAAAATTGCGCAATTTAGGAATGATCTCCTACGGAGATACTAGTATCGTTGCTCAGGCAAAGTGAGACAAAGACAAAAGAGCCATTTTCTTACCTTTAGGTTCACTGATCCGTTCCTTCATGTTTAGAAAGGATCAAATCCCTTTATGGCTGAAATTGCGACTAATTACAAGTAACTTCAAGTTCCAAACGAGAATGCTTTGTGATGTTTCACGTTGAGATTCGAGTTGTGGCATCATCCTGATATTTAACCCAATTCTTCAACACAATTCGTTGTACATCTGTCTGCGTGTTCTTCGCACAGTGAACAAGCCATCGAAATGTTTAAGTATCAAACTGGAACGAAGAAAACTTCTTATGTGTTTATGCAAAGCGTCCGGCGAGAAACCTGTAAGTTCATGAGACGTCACCTTCCTTCTTATTAATTAAATTAGTCCTATCAATGGTCCGTTGTCGCTATTACTGAGGACATTAAGCCCTCGAAATTCGCACTTCTCGGCCTTCTTTTCTCTTAATCAAGCCTCAAGTAATAGGACATTAGTTGGTCGCCTGTCCATATTACTGGATATGATGGAAGAATCATTGTCACGTGACGGTCATAACATTGCAAATTTCCATAATTTGTCGAGTCAGTGACGCGCGTCTGTGACAGCTCAGCGATGAGTGTCCACAAGTTCCTTGTGTAATACTGATTGGCTTGCTATTTATAATCGCTAATGACTGCGTGGCAGACTAGTTGGATAGCAGACACTAAAGATTGACAAAGCTTAATTCTTAATCTGTCACGAAGCTGACCTATCACTGAGGGGAGAGCAGATCTTTTAATGATAAGCGGGGTGATTCTGCAATCTTAAATGTCTACTTCCGAACAAAAATATGGCGGTATTATTCACGTCTTATCGGACTTATCGCTTAATAACTTCGATAATGAAAACTGCGAGTAGAGTTAATTACCGGAAACGCATTTTTCACACGACTGAATCCGGGACAGTAGCAATGCTCCTAGGAACTCTTAAGCTGCTGGAGGCCAGAGCAAAGCCCTTGTTGTCTGTGGCTGGGCGAAATCACATCTAAATTCAAAATCTTGACCAGGTTGTTATTACAGTTATTATGGCCTAGCAAACTTGCAAAGACCGGGACACAAGATAACGAAACAGACTAGATCTGAATAAAAGAAGAAGTCTTAAGCGGAGAAACAGATTTTGTCACAATATAACAGGTAGCAAGTGCATTTTACAGAACAAGCATAAGCTTTTGTTGCTGAAGGCCAGTTAATTAATTAATATACGTTCGTCGGATCGGAGAACGGGAGCGAAATTGTTTCTTGCTTGGATGGCAGTTCAGGCAACGGTCAGCTACATACCATGTAGTTCGAAGATTTTTCACTGAAATTGTAATGATAGACATTCATTTTTGAGTTTCCTTCCTGTCTGTTCAGTGTTGCTTTCCCAATGAAGGGTCAGTGTTGGAGTCCATGGCAAATATAAATATTTAGCTACAGGTTATTTTCTATTTCCCAGAAGCGATGTCGTGTAAGATCTTTATTGAATCATACTATGATTGAATGCAATATGTTGCAACAGTGGTAGTTTAACTTATTGAGACAAAACTTCGTAAGAAGATAAATGGGTTCTGAGCAGAATTATGGATGATTTTACTTGATTTTACTTTACGCTTTCAGTGTTTAATTTTGGGTACTCAAAAGACAAGGGATTTGGGTACGGGGTTACCCCAAGCTCGGGGATACCCAATACAGGCAGCTGTAGCGGCTCGTCGGGAGAAGACCCAACCTCGTCCCCAGGGCCTTCTCCCCGGCAATTTTCGATATCGCGGCTCGTCGAGGAGAGGGCCCTTGGGACGAGGTTGGGGGAATCCCCCAAGCCATGTTTTAAAAGACATAACGCCATTTCAAATTTTACCAAAGAAAGTACAGGGCGCGGACGAGTCTAGGCTCGATTTCCGCCGCTTTCTCGTGAGTTTGGGGGAGGAGCGCGGGCTCCTTTCCCGAACAGCGGCTGGTAATCGAGCCTAGGTAGGTACGTCACGTATGGGGACATATATTGTACCGAGATATATGTTTCATATATGCTTTATATGCTTGTCTTACTTGAGATT